AGCTGTCAGGGTAGCACCACTCAAGGCAGAACACAAGTTTGCCTTTGGGGCACAGCAAATTATGCTGGCCTACTTTTGCGCCCCTTTACTAAATGGAAAAACTCATGTTAAATCAATGGTCTCAGTCAGATCTTTCCCATCATCCACTGCCTGTTGGTTCTGAATAAAAATACTGAGGATTGATCCTGAGACCTACTGCATACAAAGTATACTGGATGAATATTACTTAGCTATTTTGTCTTTTTGTTTATTTTGAGTAGGTGGTCCAGGGACATCTTGTCTGCTCTTTTCTGCATAGGGCTTAATTCATCCTGAAGGATCAGGCTTTTAACTGGGGTTGCTCTTAGATCCATCTTTGACACAAAAAATTTAGGTTTACTCAGTGGTGTGGAACATCTTCTCTTAGCTTAAATTACAGTAGAAATCTTGGAGAGGAATAACTATTACAGTTATTAGTGTTTTGGCCGCAGTAATGCAGTTGACATGGACCCACCTTTTAAGATTGCTATCAGTTTGGAATAATTGGAGCCAATACTGAACATAATGGAACCCCTTCAATATTGGGAACATCTCTTTGGAAACAAGAAAAACAATAATTGTTGCACCCACTTGTAGAATTCTCTTCCCTAGGCAGGTACATCAAAGACCAATGATATTTTTCTTTTATTGCCAGACAAATACCTCTTAGTTTTCCTAAACATTTTAATCTTAAAAGAAAAAAACCCTATTGTTTTAACAATAATGCTTGAATTATAATGTGTGAAGATTCGTTTGCTTTATATATATTTTTGCAAGTTGCTGTAGTAGAAACATTGCTGAATGACAGTATAAGCATTTAATATGATTTTGAATATTTTCATTTCTTTTCTGGGGACCTTTTATTCCTCTTCCTGCTTGAAGTCTCCTTCCTACTCAAAATCTGTTTTAGTTACTTTACTTTTCCTGTCTCACTTAAATTTCACAGCTCTTCTGTGAGGTATTCTGTCTTGCTGTGAAAAACACACTGGGGAAGATGTAATGGTGTACAAGGATACTTAATGAAATACTTGCATCCCTTGAAGTTATGGACACTGTATAAAGAGGTCCTCAATATTGGACAAGTCACTCAGTCAGTGACTACTTACAGGCAGATGATCAGTGTATTGTAAACATCCCAAGGGACACATTTCTATAAAAACTCTTGAATTCATTAATATACATGAGAATCCACTGGTGAAATGTAATTGAAACAGTGTTCTGCAAGCAAATAATTATGCCTTTCCTTTATTATGCATATAACCTGCAGGTTGCCAAGGGCTCTGAAGGCCTAGTATTCATAGCTACCCATGTATCTTCCAACCACTGTCTGGGTGTTTTGCTCCTGCTTAGAAGCATTTTGTTCTTTTAGTCTTTTTATACATAAAATAGTATTTATACCATAGTTTTCAATATTAGATTATCATTTTAAAAGTAATAACTTGTTATATTTATTGACTTTGTTCAGAAATAGTTCTTAATATTTTTCCCAATGTCAGAATCTGGTCTACTTACCAGCATTAGGACCAAAATATCTATTACTTTTTGGTGTGTCAATACATAGCAAGCAGTTGAAGATAAATGGTATGGTCAAACCTCATTTTCATTGATAAATTTTGATCTAGATCATTAAACCTCTGAGTTGTTCACCTATTGGATTCCTGTTTCAATTCCCATTGGCCAAAGTTAAAGAAAGGATAGTTCATGAACCTCCACTTTTCTTCGGAGAGATGCTTAATTCAAGAACTGGTTCCTATCCCAAAGTTGGCAGCTTAACCATGCTGGATATTTATTTGTAAACGAGAGTGTTAAATGATCTGATCATGTTCCTAAACTATGTGAGCATAAATATCATGGACCACAGTTTTTGCAAGCCAAGTCTTATGAATGGAAGAATGAAAATATAACAAAGGAAAGTTGTAAAAAATCAATGGAAAGACTATTGCAAGATGTTTATATTGCTTCTTTTATATGCTTGTCCTTCACGAGGATATATAGTATATATTTTTTGCACATTATTTATAATCAGACTTCACACACCCAAATTGGAGAGCTAATGGAATGTAGGATTCCACATGGTTCAGCTCACTTGTGAAAAATTTAATCAGACATTATTTTAAATGCTAACAAATAGAGGGTTCAAGAGCTTTGGGGACAATTAACATTTAAAGAGATGAAAGCCTTCTGTTTTATTACTATGTATGATAAATAATAATGAACACTCTCACTTCTCTATGTGCCAGTTATTATGTAACTGCAACAGCACTTCTAACAATACAAGAGGAAAATACTGGCTCCAGGAGATTCCTGAGGTTTTTAAAAAGAATGCTGCATACTTTTTTTCTTATAGGTTAAAAAAAATATAAACGTTTTGCAGTTCATTAAATCTGGAAAGGTCTACATGGTGGGCATTGTATATTTCCATTAAAAGGTGTTTTGGCTTTCTTAAAAGTTTTGTATGAATATGTACTAAAATTAATCTGGACTGAAGCTTGCTGAAAAATACATTGTAACTTGAATATCCATGCATGATTTTGCTCTTTTGGTTACATCTTATATAGCACATTTGTATTTGCATTAAAATTGCCATACCAAGCTGTTTCTAGTACAATGTTGTGCTTAATTAATTAGTATTCAAAACTAATGCTAAACATGTTTACTTGAAAAAATGATTGATTATGTGCCATCAAGTCATTGCTGACTTAGTGTCCTCCTAGATAGATTTTCTCCATGATAATCGGTCCCTAATCTAGTCTTTCAGGTGTCCAGCAGCATACCCTTTGCCACTGTAACTGAGTCCATCCACCTTGCTGCTGGTTGTTCTCTTTCCTTCTGCCTTTCCCAGCATTAGAGCCTTCTCCAGAAAGCTAGGTCTTTGCATAATGTGTCCAAAGTAGGATAATTTGAGTCTGGTCTTTTGTGCCTTAAGTGAGAACTCTGGATTGATTTATTCAGTGATCCATTTGTTTGTTTTCTTGGCTGTCCACAGTATTCTCAGGAGTCTTCTCCAACACCAGAGTTCAAATGTGTCAATACTCTTCCTGCCCTGCTTCCTCAAAGTCCATTACTTGGGGGGGGGGGGGAGTTTTTTTTTTTTACTTGAAAAAACTGAAAATGAATAAGGCCTAGCTAGATAGAATACCAGAATCATAGCACTGGAAAGTAGCATTGAGGTAATCTAATCCATCCCGTTGCTTGATGCAGAATCCATGAGAGGGTTAACATCTAGATTGTGTTTGAAGACTTCTAAAAACACTCACCACATCATGTGGCAGCCAGTCACAAAGTTGCATTTTATATATAAATTTCTAGATATTACCCATACACCATCACAATAGTAATCTTTATTCTATAAGAGTGGGAATATACACGTTTTAACTATGGCCCATTTGGGAGTGGGATTTTCAAGAGTTTTAAGAGGTGAAATACGCACCTGAAGGCTAAAGGTACAATTTTTGCCCCTCAAAATGATCCAACTATCTCAAGAAAACAATCCCCCAAACTTGGCAGTAGACCAGGAAAAAATGCTGGCAGGATGCAAGCGGTCCCTGGGACACACTTTCCACACCCCTTGAAGAAGAATTTGAACTTTATTTTAAATATGAATGAAGACCCTGAGAAGAGTGGAGTGTGACATGCAGTCCATCCACTAGAATCCAGTAGAGATTTTCTGTCAGTAGAAGGAATTATCACTGGGGAATTAGGAGGAAACACTTTTCCTTCTGTAGCCCACATTATCCTCAAAATTTGCTCAAGAAATTTCAAACCTTTAAGAGCAGATTTTGAAAGTGTGCAGGATCTGTAGGTGAAAGGAAAAATTCTATTGCATTAGTCTACTAATAAATTGCTGGATTATGCACTGGTCCTTTTAAAATTACAAAACATTGGTGGCAAAATGGACAGTAGACCTTCATATAATGGTTGCTGTATTGATGCTACAGAAAACATATATATTGGATCCAGCCAAATGAGGTCTAAATGGAGGACATAAGGGAAGAAAAAGATTGATAACTAAACTTTGATTAATCGCATTCAGATTTATTTTGTTTTCTAGTATAAAAATGTTACTTTCATAGAGAAAATTAGTAATATGTCACAGAGAAGTGAAAGAACAGCCTGGGGTTGTTTCAGACTCCTCCCGATTAATAGCAAAGGTTTAATAATGCAACAGTTTTAAATCTCATTGATAGAATTTTTATGAAGTAGAATTGTTTAGCATTGGTTTAGCTGCATCATAGTTTAAAAGGGAAATGTGTATGAAAGCAAAATGTATGGCCCTTAATTTTCAAAAAATGAGTATCCACTGGCAAAACAAAATATTATTGCAGTATTTCTCCTCTCCTCTCCTCTCCTCTCCTCTCCTCTCCTCTCCTCTCCTCTCC